TTGATACGAGTGGCCAAAAAACGTTGTATATACGTTTATCTTTGATCTTTTTAAAGGTATAAATTATTCAATTTCTTTGTCTTCTTAATTTCTTTTTTCTGTAATATTTCAACAAAGGCCCATCTATGAAGCTTTTATATCATACCAGTTTCTTGATATGATTAAGAAGAAATCAGATATCTTAGCATTTCAAAAAAAAAAAAAAAAAAAAAAAAAAAAAAAAGTAAGACCAACGTTTCTTAAAAGCTACAAACTATTCATTTTATTTTCATTTATGTAGTTTACGGGGACTGCACTGGAGTTTTGTTTGTATGTTGTTTAACGTCCCTCTCGAGAATTTTTCACTCATATGGAGACGCCACCACTTGCCGGTGGAGAGCTGCAAATTTTGTCCTATACTCGGCACTTACGGCCATTGAGCAGTGAGGGATCTTTTTCGTGCCAGCACCAACTGCGACACGGGACCTCGGTTTATACGGTCTCATTCGAAGGACCGCTCTCCACGTCCCACAGTGGGATCCGAACCCGCGACGTACGGATCAACTCCTTACTTCGCGACTCTATAGCAGACGCTCTAACCACTGCGCCACGCGGGCGACCTGCACTGGAGTAATATATATATATATATATATATATATATATATATATATATATATATATATATATATATATATATATATATATATATATATATATATATATATATATATATATATATATAAAGCACTAAAAACCAACAACACTGTATATCCTAAGTGTCGGATCTACTAAATAGATACAAGGTCACGGATGGAAATTTATACAAAGCACTAAAAATAACCAACGACACGAACAATAATAATTGTCAAATTTTCGGGACGACCTGCCTCTTCCTCAGGACAAAGAAAAAGTTAAGAAGTCATAAAAACAAAGGAAATAGAGAAACAAAAACAACTAGCACTACTACTAAACTAGCAAACACTTATTATTTACAGTGTTACATGTTTAATTTTAAATTAAACATGTATATCATGTATATATATATATATATATATATATATATATATATATATATATATATATATATATATATATATATATATATATATATATATATATATATATATATATAGTACGATGTGTAGAGGTGAAGCTTCTTTGGTGACGGATTAATGAGATTCTTTTAAATATAAAAGGGGCTGTATATTGTATATAGCTGGTGCGCATTTTTATTTCCCTCTTTTCAAATAAAGAAGACAATGTCATATTTTCCCCCTTCCTTTCCCGCCTCTCTGTCTTTATCTTTTGCTCTAATTGTTAAGCAAGTTTTGCTTTATGTCTTGGATTCTAAATAAAATAACCTTGACCTTCATAACACAACCAACCCTTTATCATAAAGTTATCAAATTGTTGAGGCTTCATACTTACAGCAAAATGATGGTTAATCAACATGTCCATTTTCAAGATCATCCCTCTCCCCCCTACCCTCGAAACAGAGTAGAGTAGGCAATATTTAAAATTTACAATTAACAGGGGATATCTTAAGAGTTTTATTTATAAAATTCAGTTCCGCTGATGTGATCTGATATTTTGCCAGCATTCATTCTTCTTCTGTTTTGTCTATATATAGAATTTATAATTATTTTATTTAAAATTAATTTGTCTTTAAAAAGTAGCGATTGTCAACTGTATTCATCAGCACTTCGCGTTTTCTGGTGAATGTATTACTATTATGAATAATTCCATTCAATGATATTTAGAATTATTTGAATTTAATTTCCATCGTTTTTATTCATTGAAAATCCTGGGATCCGCTCCAGCAGTTGCGTAAAAACCTCATCAATACTTTACACAAAAGATTGAGCAGGCCGGAAGTGTTCATGATTCTGCTAAACTAAGAAAGTTTACACATAGTTTATTTTCTCATAAAAAAAAAATCAGCCCCTGCCCAATGCAGAAATGTCCGATTTGAAGAGGAAAATTCAGGAATTATTTCGCTACAGCCATGTTTTGACGTGAACCTTGCTCTACTTTCGCTTCCAGTAACTTTGGTTCGACCAAAACTAGGAAGCGTAACGTCTTTCGTTTGTGTGTGAAAGGAGGGGGGGGGGCTTTTTCTACGAATACTCACTTCTTTAAGCATTGAAGAATCTTATAGCTTATGGATCAGTTCGGGGTGACATACTCTATTTCTCGCAATAGCAGACTTTCTAGTTAAGGTCTTTCGTCTTCACGGAAGACCTTATAGTGATTCTACTGTTTCTTATTAAGGTCTTCTGTTTTTTTTTTCACATTTATTTCCCAGACTTATAACATGAAAGATGATATATAGGGCAGCTACCAGGGATGGGCCCTGACTAAGCTCCCTCTATAACAAAATATAATAGTAAACCCTACAGCACCACGCAGGGTGCTTTATATCTAAATACAATGTCTCACATATTTATTCAATCATACATTCAACAGGTATATTAATTAAATTGTATAACATATAAAAACAAATAATATCTATGCGGATTCAATTTTGGTTCAAAATTTTTTGTTCGTTTATACAATCCGGGGTGATTCATGAATGTGTTGCAATAATGGTAATGGGAAAAATGCATTGAAGGTAATTTAACGCTGGAGTGTGGAAAACAGGTAACAGTTCATCGATTCTGTTAGTACATTTAATGTTCACGGACGACCTTATAGTGATTCAACTGTTTCTTATTATTAAGGCCTTCCGTCTTCACGGAAGACCTTATAGTGATTCTACTGTTTCTTCTTCTTTTTCATATTATTTTTTTGACTTTCTAATTTTGTGCAAGCAATTCCTCAAAGACTGTTGGATGGATTTACATGAAATTTTCTGGATTTATTTGTTATAAAAAGAACTTATAATATCCATGGGCAAAATTCAAAATTCACTTCCGGTTCCGAGATATTGACCGTTTTCCGAATTGAAAATGACATTTTGTCTGCGGATAATCTAAAGAACGAAAAAGATATCAATGTCAAACTTTCAGGGATTATAGATCTTGATAGATATTAGCCTTTTCGCTACTTTTCGTTCGTCGTCGGCACTTCCGGTCGCTCACGGTCGCTCACGGAAGTGATTTTCAAAAATCGATATTTTTTTAAACTTTAAATTTTTCCTTGATATTTATACGGTTAATAGAGAGTCTATCAGAATGCGAAATATCTAATTTGTTTCTAAACTTCTCATACCATTTTTCTTGACATTCGTCATTTTCCACTCTGAAGCGATGGTTCCAATGGCGTAATTGATAGACCGTTGGATTTTCACGCAGGCGGCCCTGGCTCAATCACCAGTTTGTCCGATATTTTTTTTATCATTTGTTTCAGCTTAAATTTATGTTTTTATTATCTTTGATATGATGTCTGCTAATTTAACTGATGGAAGTTTGCGTTATTTTCATAGTTTTCATTGAAAATTGCAATTACCTCTTACGATTGCCGAAAACTTTAGTTCTACATTCACACTTTATCTGTTTAACACTCCAAACCAAAAACTATTTTTTCTTACATATTTTATGTATGTCAAAAATTGAGAAGTTAGAGGGATTACCCAGCGTTAATACATAATGTGTCATAAGTGATAGCTTTTCAAGGACCTTGCCTGACTAAGGTAATCAATATTTATAATGAGTCACTAAAGTAAGATTGCTGTCTGATTTTGACCATCATGTATTGTGCATAAATCTTTTGGCATTTTCAGCTTCTTCTCAAAATCCGCTGAACAAATTTCAACTAATTTTGATATATACATGGGTAAAGCCCCTGAAAAGGGCTAAGTTTATTATACAGTATACACCTTATCTTCCTTACTTCTGAAATTCAGGAGTTCAGCTGCACCAATATGATTATGAATATAGAGTTCTCATGGAAATGTAAAATTGTTGTTACATGAAGCTAGAATTCTAGATCCAAAGGTTTAAAATAGCCTGAGAAATTCATGTTACTCAGGTGACAGTCAAGGCATAAGGCCTCTTGTTGCATTTAAAACTTCAGATGGTAATTAACTGAATGAAATTAAATTTGTAAAATCTCTTGTCTGGTTGTCACTTTTAGGCTTAAAGGATTTTTTTTATGAATGAAAAATTTGTTTTTCTTAACTCCTGATTAATATGTTTTTTCATATTCTACCGAAACAACAGTTAGAAAAATTTGCTTTATTTGGCACAACTACTGGTTCTCCTTATGAAAGTGTTTAAATGAAAAAAAATTCTTTAATTGAATTATTGTGCACATCAATTAAATTGTTGATATTGTCCCTTTGAAGAGAGCAACAATTCAATTACTTCCTTCATCAATACAGGAAATATTGCTATAAAAAATGAATAATTACAAAGAGGTATTTGTTACAATTGTTTTGCATATCTACAATTAATGTAAAAATTGTCAATATTTTCAATAAATTAAAATTGTCTTCCATTATTTAAGTTAAATGTGCACTCTATTTTATGATGAAGCTTGATAACAATTATTTCCTGCGTCAAGGTTTTTCACGGACATCTAATGTCCAAGAACTGACAATATATAAGTGGAAACGACAAAGTGCGATAATGAATGAAATATTCAAATTTTACTGTATGTAGTGACTTTCTAATCATTTTTTATTTTGGACTTTTTAAACTATTAAACATCATTTGGATCCCTATACATGCTATATGCCTCTATATATGCAAGTATGATATATTTATCTTGATAGCATTGCGGGAACATAATGTAGTGACTTTCAAGTGTAAAACCTTGTGTAGTGAGAATCAGGATTTTACAAGTGTGTGTATGTAGGTGTGTGTATATGTGTGTGTGAAAAATGATACGTTGGTATTTAGATACACAGTATAAATAATCCATTTAAAGCCCTGAATACGGTTATTTGTATGTAATCTTGATTAGATGGACTTACTAAAGAAGCAGGTATCAGATGTAGAAACAACCTTGAATGCATGTAAAGACTACCTACATTACATTCTTTTAAATAGATATAAAAAGTTATAAATGATATTACAAACCTTGCCTAGTCAAAGTTAGGTAACTGACCATAGAAGTGATGTTTCCTTCTAAATCTTCCCTCATTTTCAAGATTTTTTCGAGTGTATTTTTACTATGGTTTGCTATCATGCCTTGTGTTTCAGAGAGTTGTCTTTGATTATTGTGCAGCTCATTCAGTCTAGACTCAATTTTTTCCTGTTGGATTGATAATTCTCTCGTTCTATTTTCTGCAATGCAAAAACGTTTAAATGTTTATAAAGATAAAAGGAATTTCAAATCTTTCATCACAAACAATATATCTACGGAGCAAAATACATCTGATTCAGTAACAATAATTGAAATCTCTTTGTAATTTTAACTTTTAGCACAGGGCTGCTTAATAAAACAACACGAATCTTGCCTAAGTCATTCTGCTGAATTTTGCCTCCTTTTTATCATGAAAACACACGAGATTTTCTAAACAATACCTTACATTATCATGACTCTAGTCTGATTAAACTGTCCGAAAAAAAATCATATTTTGTTTTGCTCTTAATCGTATGACAGTAAGTTTCAAAACATATTTCAAAAAAAAAAAAAAAAACAAGAGAGCATCTTAAAATATCCATTTCAAATGGCATTAAAAATTGTATTTTGAATCTTGATTTCACCGCCTGAAATGTGGGTGTTTTAACTCCAAGTAAAACACGACAGCTAGGTAAAAGTGAAAATTATTTTATTAGAAGATGCTGTTTGATCATTAAAACTAGTGAATCGAAAAGGAGTGACTTAATTAATGATGCCGATAATCTCGAACAGCTTGTTTCATAAGTACAAACTTGTATATCATAACCAATGGCCACGATATATTACATTTACATACCTTGAATACCGTACTTAGCATTGATTTTTTCGGTATGATTACGGAGAAGATCTACAGAATTATTGACGTTGAGTAAATAATCCTGTACGTTTACTATTCTTTCAGATGTGACGTTGTGGTTATATTTCATCTTCTGTGCTATTTCACTCACGATTGTTTTATATTCATGCTGCACGTTCACTATCATTTCCGATGTGTCGTTTTGGTTAATTTTCATCTTCTGTTCTATTTCACTCAACATTTTATCATGCTCATGCTGCACATTTATTATCATTTCGGATGTATTGTTATGTTCATGTTTCATCTGTTTTATTTCATTCAACATTCTTTTATGTTCATGCTGCACGTTAATTATCGTTTCAGATGTATCGTTTTGGACATGCTTCATCTGTTCTATTTCATTCAACATTTTTTTATCTTCATGCCGAAGATCACTGGTACTCTTTCTTATATCTTCTGCATTGGTTTTCATGACAGCCATTTCATTTTTCAAACTAATCATGTCGTTGATCAGTGAATACACATGTTTCAGTAAAGAAAGCCTGATCACCGTTTCTTGATTTATCTGGTTCTGCAGATTGTTAATGATGGTTTCACTTGTTTCGCACGATGATTTTACATTAACGTCATCTTCTACCTTCTTATCTGTTAATGGCGAGAGTGAATCTACCACGGCAAATAATATCCACAGAAATGTACAATGCAAAAAAATCATTGTTCAAATACTAAATGTTAGCAACAAAATTCTGTAAACGCTGAAGATTGACGTTGTAAAAGTCCTTCCAGGTCAACGTGCAAAATGTAGTGATTGGTGCAAGTTGCAGATATTTATAATATAAAGTATTTTAGCCGCGCATAGGGAATAGAAAATTTCCAGAGCTAATAAAAACAACATAGATGATTAAGGCACTTTGCATCTTAAGTGCTTATTTCTGATTTGGTATAGTCTACATAAAAATAAGTAAATTGCAACTTTAGGACTTGTGTACCAAGCTTTTATCAAATAAGAAGCAACTTGACTGATCAATTTTGAATCAAGCGCGAACTTGTTTATATGAACTTTAATAAAAACAGGCATAAATAAAACATATTGTGCGAAAAGTTGCTATGTAGTTCGTATCTCAAAAGAACTTTTAGTGATACGAGTTTCGGGTCCAAAATGTGGAACAGTTACCCCTGTGCATAACACAGCCAAAATGGTATTTGAGGAACGTTCCTCTCTCCATTTCAACTATGTAAAAAATGCACAATTATTTAACATTGTTGTTTACCAAAGTTTTTAATAAAAGCAGTTTCAACTTTAATTTTAGATTCATTAAGGAAATGATACTTGAGAATAAGATTCTGAGATAGTATAGTATTTGTACGTACTTCAGCGTTTAAGATTAGCCTCCAGTGACACTCGAATTTGCACTTTTAGTTGACCACTGTAACATACTGGCTATAAAGCTAGTTCAGGATCTTTCTTTGTGATGATCGACATTCTGATGAGCTATTTAATTTTTTCATTTGAAATATCAAAACAGTCACCTGTACTTTCACAAAGTAATCTTTTCAGGTGTGTGTGTTTTTTTTTTTTATAAAAAAAAGTAGTGAACAAAAGATACCTTCAGCATTCAACGGCTTAACCTTCTGTTTCAACTGGGGGCTTCCTTTCCTAAAGTTTTCCCAGAACACATACGTATTGACTGCGTTAAAAATGCTTCTGTTTGTTATGAGAGTGTGTAGTATTTCTAAGGGTTCTTCTTTAGGAACAACCAAGAGAGCTAAGTAGTATTAAGCTGAATGTTAATATGGCTGGTAAGTAGATGCCCTCATTAGTTCAAATCTGTACGTGGATAGAAGAATAGAGGTTATAGAAAATTGCAGTTCTCTTGATGCATGGGATCTCTCTCTCTTAAAAAAATATATATAAGTTGAATATAAGTTGAATTTTATTCGTGATAACGAGGTTTAACTGTAGTAACATTTTTAACATTTTAACATTTTTATGCTAAAATTCTCGGATCTGTTTCCAGCTGCTACACAGCCAGTAGTACCAGGATATCCTCAGAATTTCTGGTTACAAATGGATGTACAAATTCATCAATTTTATTTAAAAAAGACAATAAAGCAAACAAGATAATTTTTAAACTGAATTTAGGTTGTCCTGTTTTTTTTTTAATTCATGTTGTAAATGTAAAATTTCTTGTGAACTTTAAATTGAAACTAACCGGAGTATAATTTTAAATTGAAAGCCAATATTCCATTTGGGTTTCTCATCCAAATTGGAAGACCATCAATTTTAGTTGCAAAGGCTTGAAAATGTCCAGAAATCCATGCCATACCAAGGATGAGGTGATTCTGAGTGATATTTTGTAATATCTGTGTGGCACATTGCAAGATGCAGAATTTTAAATAAACTGTTTCCACCGATAAATAGTTTTCAATAGACGTGATTTAAGCAAGAGCTACATATATTTCCCGTTGGTCACATATTGGATTTCAACGAGCCCGAATTCCTTCATAATTCAACCAAATGAATTTAAACTTGCCAGACTGGGCAACTGAGTAAAGGAACCACATTTTTTGTAAGAGCACAAGCTTCCTTTAATTTATAATTTTAGTATTTTAAAGATTTTTGCCCTTATATTTCTGCCATACAAGTTTAAACTTAGCTGCGCAAAGAGGAAAATCGCTAATTTGACCTCCAACATGGCGACCAAGGGAAGTAACTCGCAGGGAAAATACATCATACGAAAACTTTGTATACAATTATGAGGTTTATATTGCTGATGCTGGTTATTTGTAGAAAGATCTGATTGAATATTAGTTGCATATTATATTAGTGCAATAGGTTTATATATATCACAATTTTTTTTTTCATTCGGTGCAGAAATACACGAATCAAACAAAAAGAATGTGTTGGAAACTCATTCGCTACTCCAGATTCAACGAGTACTTGTGTACTTTTACGACAGGGAATGTAGATAAACATTATACGAAACCGCAATCAGCTAATGCATAGATTTGTTTGGTCATCAAAAATTTAAATTAAGCTTTCTCTGATAAGGCGATAGATACATTTTTCTACTTTTCTATTACAATTTAAAGTATCGACGGTACATTTTTGCATGGTGTTAGCATTTACAGAAAAATCTGTGTAAATAATTTTAACTCACTTCTACACAACACCCGTTTAGGTTGTTAACCAATCGATTATTTTCATTATATAATTCCTACATTTATAGCAAAAAACTTTTAAAAATCAGGTTAAATTCATGAAGAAATAATTGTTTGTACATAGCCCAAGTACACTACAGGAAGTGGTATCATATACCAAAAAATAGTTCCTTTTAGAAATATTATTTAGCTTACAAAGGACAAAGCATATCTCAGTTACAGATACCAAATTCTTAAATTAGAAAGGTAAATGTAAAATTGTAAATGCAGGACAAAAATAAATTAAATGTATTATTGTTTTTGTTTGTTTGGAACTATATTTTGACCGAACAACTAGCGGTGTGATACCTTATATAGTTCATAAATATTTTCATTGTACATCATCAAGTATCTATGGAGCATAAGCGATAACTTCTTATATCTACACATCCAAAAATGCTTTTTATTAATCTGCTCTTTTGTTGGATTTCTGTATCCATGTCAGCGACACACTCGCTTTTGACGGATCTGAAATCCGAGAACAACCAAATAACAATTGTTTGTGCCAACAAATCGTTACGGGAAGACATTTACCATCTGAAGCAGCAACTAAGTCAGGAAACTTTAATACGACTGTCACTTGTCCATCAGATGTCTGTGTTTGTTAATGAAATGTTAACAGTGAAAAAAGATATGACTAGCGTTCTGGAAAAGATGGAAGAAATAGAAAAGAGTAATGCTGATATTAAGCTTGAAAATCAAAGAATGCACATGGAATTGGACCAACATATAAAAATGAACAATAGTGAAGGTGAAACATTACAAGAAAACAAACAGCTACATAACGATCTTCGTTCAACTGTAGAAGAAATCTTTCGTAATTATACTGTTGAATTCACGACGGAGGAAATTGTCCAGGGTTTGTTTATGGTTAAAAGATGCTATTCAATTCCATGGTTTAGTTGATTATTGTAACAAATACTACAGAGTTTAAGTATATACTTATTGTAAGTTAAGGATTTTTTTATTTGTATCAAACTAAGGTAACTGTACAACAAAATCTGAAGAAAAAAAAAATCACTCGTTTGTCACATATCAAGAGGGCCTTTATAATTACAGTGAAAAAAGATATGTCCGAGGCACTGGGTAAAATACAAGAACTGGAAAACAATGTTACTGATCTTAGACGTGAGAAACAGCGATTGCAAGAAGAATTAGACCAGCTCATAATGGGAAAGGAGAGGGATGGTAATACAAAGCTACAAATGATTAAGGAATTACAGAAAGACGTCAGAAGTGTGACATCAACTGTAGAGAGTTTCAGTAAGTACCGTGTAGTGAACGGATGAGTCGGTCAGTTATTATTAAAAGGACTATCTCAATATTTCCTTTGAATTAGATATATTTTAAAAAGTTAAAATATTAAAGACAAAACTTGAGAAAGGAAAGTGTAAAAATTAAATATGTTAATATTCTATGCTACTTAATTGATACTTTATAATTCTATACTATTAAGAAGAGTTCTATGTACAACCTGCCTTTTGCCGATAATTATAATCCAATATTCTTCGATTTTTCAATTCATTTCATTCTTGTGTTACCGTATAACATCTACTTTTATTTTAAAATTAATTAGGCGTTGATGTTCGACTACATCCTGCATTTCATGCCCGCCTTTCACACTCCGTGAAAAATATTGGCTTTAGACAGACTATTATCTTTGACTTTGAAGTTGTGGACACAACAAATTCCTACGACCCTCAATCTGGAATTTTCACTGCGCCATTAACTGGAACATATGCCTTCTACTGGAATATTCTGTCTAATGAGGCATCAGGTATGGATACAACATTAGATTCATCTCAAGGAGCTTTAGGATTTGGATTCGTCAGCCATGCAGTAAATTATGGAAATGGGGGTAACTTGGTAATAGCAAATCTGACCTCTGGAACGCATGTCTGGGTGAAGAAGGCTGACAGATATGGAAATTACATGCATGAGAGATTTTCGACATTTTCTGGTTATCTTCTGCATGCATCAGGTTAATATGAACAAGATGTAAAGGATAATCAGTACTATAAATTCAATGAAAAAGTAACATATTTCTTAGTTTTGTTGTCAGATTTGTTCTATGTATAGTGCGTTGTGGTATACATGTAGTATGTGAACGATCATCTTCATTGTTTTGTATTGCAAACATTGCGAGCTCTTAAGGCAACGCCTGGGCTAAGAGAAAGTTCAGAATGTGCAGAAAAGCAGAGATTTTGTACCGGGTGGTAAATTTCAGATGAGGGTGGGGCTTAGTTTTTCAAGTGTGAATGCCTCGAGGGCTAGCAGTCTACCTGAAGTCGTATTCTCTGCTTTTCCTTTTACAGTGGCTTAATATGATAGTTAATATTCATGCAGAAGTTGAACTTTACTTGTTTTGGATTAATTTGTTATGCCACTGAGACTATTTTACAATAAGTTTAAAATATTGGAAAATAATTACTGTATTCCTATTGTTTTGGATAATAGTGATTTGTATTTGAATGAGTTTCGTTCATTTTTTAAAGATTTTGAAACGAAGCAAGTTATCGATAAACAGGGATCTCAACAGTCTCGTTTATAGTTAACATTTCGCAAATTCCATGGTCGATACTAAGACCTCGTCAGCAAATACAGTCTATCATTAAGTCGAATGTTGACTGATGTTTTTCATACAAATTGTTAGGCCATTATTTACAAAGTGAATTATCTACTGATTTTTCTGTTTTCCCGATCATAACAAGGACCAGAAAGTCAATGTGACCGTCCGAGAGGGGATGGTTACTCCTACTTGGTATTTGAACCCACTTCTGGTGTTTTTAGAGGTCCATGTTTGCTCCAGATTTGTATTGTTTAAATGGACTTTTGAGTTTATTCACTGTTCGTTTACTCTGTATTTCATTTCAATGATGGTTGGCACTTTCAGTTTAGCTTAAAATCGATGTAAAGTTGGTTTAGAGACTCCATGATCATCAATTATACATTGAATTCAGATGAACTTTGAAGAGAATTATAACCTACGTTTGATTTATACATAAACTTATCATTGAGTCAAATACTGACTGACGTTTTTCATACTAATTGTTAGGCCTTTATTTATACATTGAACTGCATACGAGTTTTTTCCCGATCATGACAAGGAGGACACGGCGGGTGTGACCGGTCGACAGGGGATGCTCACCCCTCCATGCCACCTGATCCCACATCTGATGTTTTTGGAGGTCCGTGTTTGCTCTGCTCCAAATTTGTATCGTTTCATGAGACTTTCGAGATTGAATACCGTTCGTTATCTTCATATTTCATTATTATGATTCATAGTATTATTAGACGAAACGATTTTACATACTACATCTACTTTATAATTTGCAAAGCCAAAATTTACATATCAATACAGTATCTTTGTCGCACTAGTATATGTGGTAAGCAAAAGACCGAATGTTAGTTTGATGATCCCTACGAGCCCCAAACAGATACTAGTAGACATAATATTAAAGTAAACTTTGATTTTTAAAACTTTGCTTTTTTCAGTCTTCGTTATGGAAATGCAACCAACAAACCACGTCACATTACATCACATTCTAGAACTCTCAAAATGTCTCGTGCGGTTGGATGCAGAATTTAAGTTAAAAATGAATAGGTATCCACTATGACACAACTGAACTCGCCCTAAAGTTTGCATCATCATTATTATTATAACTGATGTTTGATGTTTTTAATTATGATATAGGAAGGACCTCTATACAAGTATTGTATAAAGTATTGAAGATATAATGCAAAAAAGCAAACAGTACGGACTGAATTTATTTTTAACATTTAAAACTTCTCATTAGATGGAAAATGTGTTCGAAAACTAGTCTCCTAGATAACATGAATTTAAAAAGAAGAACACACATACCACCTTAAATTATAAGTTTTAAGTGTTTGAAGATCTACAGAGATACACTTCCGTAGTAGGTAATTAAGATACAAGGACGTTTTTAAGTTGTTTTGATGACCTTTGAAATGCGTTTTATTTTACCACTTAAATATTTTGGTTGTGAACATTGCGGCATGAGGAGAAAAATCTTTAATAAGAAGAGTCTAAGCTCTTCCTTGCTTTGTTTACAAGTAAGCTCTTCCTTGCTTTTTTTTCAAGTATTTGCAACTTGTACCAATAATTTAATTTTGCTGACAGGATTTCAAATATACATCATGAATTAGTTTTTTTGCATTTTCAGAATGCATCTTCTATCCTTAAGGTGCTCTAATCCTTCGGAACATCGTCAGTTAAGTAATTGAAATGGTCATAAAAATGTCATTGAAGTCATAAAGTAAGGTGTATATCTCACGTATGGTATTTTACAAAAATCATAATTATTGTTAATCAAATTATATTCGGAAAATTATCAAATCTCAAATATTTATTCTTAGGAAACACGAATAAAAGCGCCATCTCAACATTTTCTAATTTAAAATTGATCAACATATATACATGAATCTTAGAATAAAAACTAGAGGTATCCAGGCATTCCGAGAATCTGCATGTTTTTATATACTTATACATTATATTAGTTCATATATTTACTTTGGTATATAAAGGGGCCTTGACAAAGTTGCATTGTTTATATTCTAAATTTCTTTTGTTATTCAAAAAATAAAACCGGTTAAATGAATTGAACTTACATGAATATTCTTAGAATTCAATGACAATGACATTCTTCTTTACGTCACGTCTAACATCTGTTTTTTTAATCAGGGCACGAACTATGGATTTTCTGAATTATAGTTTCAATATTTTTTTTTATTAATACACAACAAAAATTCTACTTTGCGTAATTATTAAGGATTAAGTTTACTTTGCGAAAGCAAGGATTTGTGTCAATCAAACTCATCCCGAAAGTCGTAGTTGTAATAATTTCTAGATAAAAGAAGTTTGTGAACATGCTTTTATTATATTTTCATAAGTCATGATAATACACAGAAAATTTGAGAAAATATTAACTTCAAATCTGTGTCCAAGCCCCTTAATACAAAATGTTAAAAGCTTCCGCTATCATTGCAACAAGACAATCACAGGACGCTTCTAATTTTATAATAGAGGTACAAATGTCAATTTTTAACAAGACTGTTTCTAAGACTTCAAAGAACCTTGATTAATATTGAGATGTATGAAATGAAAATTGTTGCACAAAGTATTACGATTTCAAACTTCATTTTGAGACTTTTTAAAATTAAATAATAATTTTAAGAGTTATAGTTCCTGGCTGAGGAGCGGACATTCTTAAAGATCTTAGGAACCTGCATGTTTAATCAGCCTGTTACTTATGAAACTATCATTTTTATTGGTCAATAATTTTACATATATCAACAAGAAAAATGAATTATTAGATATCATGAAACCAACACAGAAGAAATGAGGAAAAGTAACTTTAATCTTTAAATTTGCATGATGATAAAACAAATTAAAAATCATCCAATTGTCTTGAGATGGTCCTAATCGAATGAAGATTTTTTGGCCAATATTTTAACATGGTCAAAATACGCGATTGTGAAAAGTTGTAAATTATATGTATTTAGATGAAGCTTTAAACATTTTTGTTTCAAATTTATATTGGTAAATATTTTTGCTAGCCCTGTGACAAAAGGATACGTCAGATTTTAATATAACGGCCAATATGACCAAATTTCTCCAAGCCTTACACAAAAATTATTACAAAATCATATCTGTTAATAGAATCTTTCTAAGAATGTGCAGATGTATGAAAAGGATCGAGAAAACTTCCACATTTCATATTTAATCTGACCAAATAATTAATCAATTATTCTTTTCCTACATTAAAGGGCAAATTTGACGATTTGAAATTTAGACAATCACTTTTTTTCACACAGACAATAAAGAACTAAAACAAGTAGTAAAATATACAATGAGGAAAAAATTAAGCCCCTTATACTTATGCAATGAATACTCTTTCTGCAAAAATAGGAAATGTCGTTTTGTTTGTTATTATTCTTCTTTTAAAAAAAAAATTAAAAAGTAAGATAAAGAATGCGAAACATTGCATCTTTAAACTGTGCTTTGACTGAAAGTTAAAATAAACTTATTAGACTAAAATCTACAAACAGAGACTAGGTTTGCTTATAATTACATATGGCTGAGAAGTACTACAGTTTCAACTGACATGTTAGCGTTTGTCTTCATTTCTTTTTCTGACGATTTTATTAAAAGTTTACGTACTGCTTCTTCCTCATCTTCTGACCAGCATTGGACACTCCAGAAATCTTTTTTATACCAATGACTACACAATGTTCACCATCATGGATCTTGTTATAAGAAAATACATTTTTATAATCATGACAGTATGGCACGTGGAGGGGGCATATTGATTTGATGTGTTGCTGGTAAGTCACGTGGAGGGGGCACATCAACAATATAATGTCGGTAGGCAGCATAATATGGTTAAATGCAGTATTCTTCTCGACCAATGAAATTTCAAGATTTTTATCAGAGGCAGGATTATGTTACATCCAGTGATAACCCCATGTGAACTTTATGGACCGTGTTTATATTAATTGTATATTTGTAGATAAAGTCATTGTTAGTTTTTACAAATCTTGTTATTTCTTGGTGAACAGAAGTCATCCAAAACAATATTTGTTTTTGGTTGTAAACATGTAATTTAAAGAACCCATCACAACTAGAGGTTGGTAGTGACAACAATATATTTTCATTATAAATTACTCAAGAACATCTTGAAGCAAACGTGTTTGAATGACTACACGTAACAAAATATTATGAAATCATTGTCCTTAGAGTTAGGAATAAGGATCTTTAGAAGCGTAAACTAAATTTTTTTTATGCCCCCGGATCGAAAGATCCCGGGGGTATATTGTTTTTGTCCTGTCTGTCTGTTTATCTGTTTGTCTGTTTGTCTGTCTGTCTGTTGTCAACTTTAACCTTGCCCATAACTTTTGATTGGTTGGAGCTATGACTTTCATATTTCACATGTGTATTTCTTGTGACAAGACTTTTCTTTGGGTACCATTATATTTGAACTTTTGACCTTGACCTTGGAGTTTGACCCACTTTTGCAAAATTTTATGAGACTTTAACCTTGGCCATAACTTTTGAACAGTTGATGCTTGGGGTTTCAAACTTCACATGTGTATTCTTTGTGACAAGGCCTTCCTTTGGATACCAACAACTTTGACCTTTTGACCTTGACCTAGGAGTTTGACCTACTTTTGAAAAACTTTAACCTTGGCCATAACTTTTGAACAGTTGGTGCTTGGGGTTTCAAACTTCACATGTGTATTCCTTGTGACAAGACCTTCCTCTGGATATCAACCTTTTTGACCCTTTGACCTTGACCTAGGAGTTTGACCTACTTTTGAAAAATTTTAACCTTGGCCATAACTTTTGAACAGTTGGTGCTTGGGGTTTCAAACTTCACATGTGTATTCCTTGTGACAAGACCTTCCTCTGGATATCAACCTTTTTGACCCTTTGACCTTGACCTAGGAGTTTGACCCACTTTTGAAAAACTTTAACCTTGGCCATGACTTTTGAACGGTTAGAGCTAGGGCTTTCATTCTTCACATATATAATTCTTGTGACAAGACCTTCCTTTGGATACCAACCACTTTGACCTTTTGACCTTGACCTAGGAGTTTGACCTATTTTTGAAAAACTTTAACCTTGACCATAACTTTTGAACGGTTAAAGCTAGGGCTTTCATACTTCACATATGTAATCATTGTGACAAGACCTTCCTTTGAATACCAACCACTTTGACCTTGACCTTGTAGTTTGACCTACTTTGGAAAAACTTTAACCTTGGCCATAACTTTTGAATGGTTGATGCTAGGGCTTTCATACTTCACATATGTAATTCTTATGACATCACCTTCCTTTTGGATACCAACCACTTTGACCTTGACCTTGTAGTTTGACCTACTTTTTAAAAACTTTAACCTTCGCCATAACTTTTGAACAGTTGCAGCTAGAGCTTTCAAATTTATCATTTTTTATCTTTTGGCCTGGATTTTGACTTGCATTTGAGAAACTTTAACCTTCGCCATAAGCTACCATACGAGGGCATCAGTGTTTCACAAACACATCTTGTTATCAGTTTGTAATCTTCAAAGTCGGCCCATTCAACACAATTCTGTCTTGGAAATATTTTGACGAGCAAAATAAATAAATAAAATAAAGAAACACATTTCGTGTGTGTATGTGTGTAGGTGTGTAAGGGTGTGTGTGAGGGTGTGTGTGTATGTGTGTGTGTTTAGGGGATTGGTTGGATTTCCATGGGTTATTCATGGAGGGGTGTTCCAACATCATTTTTTAATTATTTGCTATATAAGTTTCGTAATTCTGAAAATCAGGGAGGGTGGGAGAATAAGAAATAAGAACGAAGATTTGTTTTTAATGTTTTATAATTAAAAATTTTCTAAAACAAACCCGACATTTTTTTACGATATATCTAATAATACATAAGAAATAGAGTAGGGTTTCGGCGGGTTTACATTGGTATGACCCTGTTACTTCCCGGTATGCTGACACCACATTCGATCCATTTTTCATACCATTTATTTGTCCGCTGTGGTCTATATCCTATTGTTCCATATGAGAATGTGCCTCCCCTTGTATTTCGATAGAAGCCTTAAAAAACAACTTTGGCGATTATTATACTTTATCCCATTTTTTGATAAGAAAAAGAAGTTTATTTGAAAGCAATGTGGAAAAAGAAAACCTTTTTTCCCATATTTTTTGCAGATATATTTCACAAGTCATCATTATTACTCCTTTCGTAAATTATTGATTTAGAAATGTCACGACATTAGTACATTGCATATAAGTTTCAGTATCTTATATATTATGAGACATAATAATAACAAACTGACGAGTGACTTTGCTTTGTAATTTTTGCATTGTCTTAAACATTATTTTCAATTATTACTGAAGTTTCTGAAGAAACCTGAAAAAATAGAGAAATATAGGATACAATCTTGTAGAAAAAGTTTCTTCGAAACCCTTACCCAGTGGAGATAAAATGGGAGATTAAATTTTATATGCTTTGAACTGTGACTGAGAAGCACATTATTATTTAAAGTAACAAGTAACAATACAAGAACAATAACTGAATTTCCTCTGGCTTTGTTAAAAAAGAAGTATAAAAATTAACTATATTAGCAGCACTACAAAACAAATCATGGTGTATATTCTACCTGAAAAACAACAAATCCTTAGAATTCATTAAGTTCCATAACAATTCACTCTAAATTGCACTTTAATCAATATTTTTTACGCTTTAATCATTTGAATAATAATAATAACAACGTCCCTGAAAAAAGACGATTAAGATGAAAGTTTTGATGAAGTAAAAAAGTCAAGCTACTGAGCTTAGATCTATTTTTCCGTGGTCTTTTATTAGAGTGAAATAAAATACAAATCAATTTCATTATAACATTATTTTGTAAAAAATTGTATAAAAATGCACTGCATTTTTCCCGACAAATTAGGAAATATTTCAATATAGTCAGACTAGGATCAGGAAGTTTTGTTGCTTTTTTTAGCATCCGACAAGAACTCTGATTGTAAATATTAAATATTTTATTAAGATAAAGGGTAAACACGCCATTTATCAACATTATATCTAATGACATTGGTCTGAATGTTGATATATAGGATTAAAGTAAAAATAAAGATAAAACACTGATGATCGAACAGTCTTAAAATATGTAAAAAGGAAGGAAAGGCTTTAAATATGTAAAGAGGAAGAAGGAAATACATCATAACTCAAATCATAATTGGCTTATACAACATCTTTCCTCACCTTGTGTGTTTGGTGAACTTTCGTAGTCTCTAGGCAATACACCATCCTGGGCAGTCCCCAAAAGTTCACAGTGATCCTGTCCATTACCACCGGTATCAGCAATGTTATAGTATGTGCCGGTAACTGTTTTACTCAAAAACAGTTTGTATCTATCAAAGTATAAATCATGAACGATAAATTGCATGACTACGTAAACCAGTGTAGGGAGAAGAGAAATAGTAATGTAACATAAAATAACATAACATTTATACTCGCCACACGATCAAAACATTTCACAATTTACAATCAATTCTATTTTTTACATAGCATATACCCAGAAATAAACATGGAAATTTAAATTACAATAATTTTGTTTCAATTGAAATAAGATGACAACTATATGAAGTAATCTAAAGACGTTTACAGGAAATTGCTTGCAAATTAATGCACCACACAGAGCTTTTTACAGATTGTATATTATAGATTGCATTTATTGAAAGCTCAAAAATAAAAGGCAAGGCAGTAAAATTCGAATGCCTGAACGTTTTTGTCTTGAACTTTGTCAGAAAAACTTAAGACTTTGTTTTGAATCGAATGAGGAAGAATGAAAGCAAGATAATTCCGGTGATAGTGTCACTCAGTGGGAGTAACAACTTAAGTATGCAAAGGTTTAAATAACATTTTAAAAGAAGCAACAGTATCTTGAGAAAAAAAAAGAGGATAATCAATGTTTTATAGTTGAATATGGAATTTATTTTACGAGTGGGACATGATTAAAAAAAAAAAATTTTTTTACAAGTATACGAGTGAAAATATAGAATGAAAATCTTGTCTCACAAGGAAAATCAAGAGTTTTGTGGCACTTCTGATATTTTCTTACACTAGTACTATGACGGAATATCATTTTGTTTTCCTTTCACACTGTGACAAGATATCACTTTTATTCAGTAAATAAATTACAGTATTGCACTGGTAAAAATGTATTAAATTTCTTTATATAGTTTTTTGATTGTGTACATTATTATCAAGTGCTCATGTCATGGCTTATGTAAACTCAGGTAATGTAATATGTTATGAATATGTTTTTATTCCAAATTCGTCTCTTCACTGTTTGCATTACAATGTATAATTCTAAATTTAATTTCAAATAAAGCTTCAACTCTCTTGAGAATGAGTATTTTACTTTATATCAATAATAGAAAAGCAAAAAAAAAAGTAACAATAGTAATAACATAAATAAATAAATCACTATTTTTTTCTTTAACTTACATACGGATAGTTCTCCATGTTCCCCGGGGTTTCAAAATAAGATAATTTTTAAGGAAAATATTGCAGAATACTTGAGTATTATTGTTATAGACATCTACTTAATAAAAGCAGTTAAGCATATATTGCATTAGTTCATCTTCAAAATTGAAAATTGTTAAAATTTAATAATTGACAAAAATTGCATTAATCGCGGAACACTTGGCCCCTTAACACATACAATGTATTACCTTATATTTTTTTGCGGAATGATAGAATTGTCAAAAGCTATATCTATATAAATTAGAATCTTCAAATAAAACTTTCATAAGCTATTTATTAATAAAGAAAAGCATATACATAGTATACCTTGTCGAATTACATGTCATCACACCAAGATAAGGGGCAGAAGAATAGTTTGTCTTCTTTACGTACTGGCTTCCACCTTCACATCCATTCCAGCTATTGTCATAACCAAAACTATACAGCAACCAACAGTGGCTTGATTCTAAGCAGTCTAGATGGAAAGAAAGTTATTATCATGCTTGAAATATGCCTCTAATTCAAATATATGCACAAAAATAATTGATCAATCAGTTTAAAGCAAAATAATATCAGCAATAAGTAGCTAAAGAAAACAATGCATGTTAAAGTGAGTATGAAGAAGTACTTTATTGTTTCAAATTAATTGAAAAGGAAAGTATTCTGTCGATCTATGTAACAACTGCTCAAAACAGATAGCATCCTACATGTTCATATATATATATATATATATATATATATATATATATATATATATATATATATATATATATATATATATATATATATATATATATATATATCTGAAAATAAAAAATAACAAGGCAACAATGTTAGTAAAACGTAAGCGCTTTCATTACTTCTTCAGACGTTTTACAATTCAAAACAATTGTTTTGAATTGTAAAACGTCTGAAGAAGTAATGAAAGCGCTTACGTTTTACTAACATTGTTGCCTTGTTATTTTTTATTTTCATATTAATTACCGGACACTGTGATATTTCTTTTCATTTTTTGGAGATATATATATATATATATATATATATATATATATATATATATATATATATATATATATATATATATATATATATATATATATATATATTCCTTAAATAGCAGGCATCAGATATGGAAAAACCATATAACCATAACCATATAATGTGAAATTTCCTTCTAAAACTTCCCTAATCTTGAATTTTTTTTTTCAAAATGTATATTCACTATGGTTTGCTATCATGCGTTGTTTTTCAGAGAGTATTCTTTGATCTTCATTGTGCAGGTCACCCAGTCTAGACTGGATTTATTCCTGCTCGGTTGATAAATCTTTCATTCTGTTTTCTGCAATTCAATATAGTTTTGATGACGATGAAGGGAATTGTACATTTTTCATCGTGTACTATATAACTACTTAGAAAAACATCTGTAATTATTGTTGAAATCTAATTTAAAAGTTTAGCATAGGGCTGCTCAAGGAAACAAGAAATATTTAAAGGTACAAATCCTGCCTAAGTCATTGTGCTGAATTGTACCTCCTTTTTATCATAGAAAAAAATCACCTGAGCTTTTCTATACAGTGGCTTATATTAACATAACTCTAGTCTGATTAAATCGTCTGAAAAAAATTCCCTTATGATTTTTTTCAATAGTAATCGTATGACAGTCAGTTTCATTATAAATATAAAAAAAAAAACTACAGAGCATCTTAAAAACAACCCATTTTAATTGCATTGACAAATATAATTTAAATCGTGATTTCAATGACGTGAAATGAGGGTGTTTTAACTCATGTGAAACACGACAACTAAGTAAAAGTAAAAAAAAAAAATTAATGTAGATGTAGTTTAATTATTCAAATCGTGAAACGAAGAGGAGTGATTTACATATTGATGCTAATGATCTGGAACAGATTGTTTCATAAGCACTAATTTCTATATCAAGACTTGTGACCACGAAATATTTACAGCTGTACATACATTGGATACCGTTCTTGGCATCGATTTTGTCGGTATAATTACAAAGAAAACCTACAGAATTATTGACGTTCACGAGGTCATTCTGTACGTTTACTATTCTTTCAGATGTGGCCTTATAGTTATAGTTTATCGTCTCCTCTATTTCACTCAACATTATTTTATATTCATGCTGCACATTCACAGTCCTTTCCGATGTGTCATTATAATTAATTTTCATCCTCTGTTCTATTTCACTCAACTTTGTTTTATATTCATGCTGCATATTCACCATCTTTTCCGATGTATCATTATGGTTATATTTCATTCTCTCTTCTATTTCACTCAACTTTGTTTTATATTCATGCTGCACGTTCACTATCCTTTCCGAGGTGTCGTTATGGTTAATTGTCATGTGCTGTTCTATTTCACTTAACATTTTATTATGCTCATGCTGCACATTCATTATCCTTTCAATTGTATCGTTCTGGTCATGTTTCATCTGTTCTATTTCATTCAACATTTTTTTATCTTCATGCCGAAGATCGTCTGTGCTTTTTCTTATTTCTTCTGCGTCGTTTTTCATGACAGCCATTTCATTTTTCAAACTAATCATGTCGTTGACCAGTGAATACACATGTTTCAGTAAAGATAGCCTTATGACCGTTTCTTGAGTTATCTGGTTCTGCAAATTGTCAATGATGGTTTCACTTGTTTCGCACAAGGATTTAACCTTTAGGCCATTTTCTGACTTCTTTTCCGTTAGTGGCGAATGGGAATCCACCAAAGCACATAATAAAAACAAAAAAGTAAAGCGCAAAAAATGCATTGTTCAAAAGCGCAATACTAAATGTTAGCAACTAAATTCCAAATAGCAAAGTTTGACGTTGTCGAAGTCCTCTCAGGAACAGTTGCAAAATAAATGAAACCACTGGTTCAAGCTGCAGCTATTTAGAATGTAAAAATAAAGAGGGTAATATTTTGAGTAACTCCTTACGATTTCCTGCGTTTTTCCCCAGTATTTCAGCCAAGAGGTTTAGAAAGATTAGAAAACTTTTATTTATCGAAACAACTTAGATTCTTAGAATGCTTTGTATCTTAAGGACCCACATTTTCTTTAAAATAACACAAGACAGAATTCGCAAAATGCAATTCTAAGATATGATTCAAACTTTTAGTTTTCATGGATAATTGTTGGCCATGCGCCAGCATATTTATTTGAAATCTTTATTAAAACAGACTAAAGCTTTGTCCGAAATTTTGAAACAACAACCATGAAGTTCCGCTGAATGACAGAAAAAATAATTTGAATATACAACATTGAATTTACAACAACTCTAAAACTGATATAACTGCCCTAAGTGCCTGTCTCGAGAATTCCATCGACGTCGAAACCAAGTTTTATGACTTACTTAGATGGCAAGTATATATATATATATATATATATATATCCGACTTTATTACACAACTATTATAAAAGGTTAGGGCATTGACTATATGGATGTAAAAAGAAACACTCCTTTAAGGGGATGAAGGCCACATGGTCACATTACTCAGTTAACTACGTCATAGTCTCTAATAACAAAACTTGATTAAAACCAGTATTTGTATAATTTTTTACAATGCGTTTTACCTCACCAAAAAGTTTTAACCTTCTTCTAAACATTGTGAAAGAGATTGCTCCATTCCTCTGTTTCCCGACACTGCGCGTCCAACCAGTTGGTGACGTCATACACGATCTTTCAGTACAGAAAGATTATACTGGTGAATACACGGACAGTATTTTAACGTAAAAACAAATCATAATCAGACACATGGTGAGGTATTTTGTGAAACAGGGAAAACAGAAATTATTTTGCATGGTTGTTGATAGAAATCTCTTGTAGGTGTGACGTATCAGCTGGTTATCCCGTACTCGAGAAATTAAAACATGACACGATTTTATCATGCTTATGTCTTGTTTAAAGATGTCCTGTGCAATATTGAGTTAAGCTTTACCCTTTGATATTTTTATAGCTAATTAATAGAATGGAGGACTTCAGTTTCAATGTAAATTTTCAAATATTGAATGATGGAATTTTTTGCAAGTGAAGTTTTTTTTTGTTTCAGTCGTCCTAAAAATTACGCAATTTTCCCTATCCTGATGCAGCGTGATAAAAATCTCTGCTTAAAAATTCCTGTCATGGACAAAATATTTTGCCCGTAAACATGGAGATCACAACTCCACTTAGACACCGTAGGGCATGGTATTTGTCAATCAGTATCTCTAAAATAAGGTAAGAAATCTAATTATATAACTGCTTTATGATATGTGGGACATACTAAATTAGTAATATACAAAGTATGGGAAAAAAAATTAATGACAATTTTTTTTCAACACAAGGTCCTTCTTCCCCTTAATGAAATAAATCAATTTCAACTTCACTTCGGAAGTGTGTTGGGAAGTAAAACTTGAGATAACTTGTGTGTGTACTTCAGCTTTTAAGATTTTCCTCCAGTGGTTTTATACTCTGACCACTTAAAATGTGTTTCTTACTGGTTAACTGTTCCCAAGCACTTCTTCCTTTTTAATTAAGAATATATTGTACTTAGTCAAAATATTTGAAATGTTTAAAGTAATTTAAGCCCTCATTAATTTCAAAATTGGCTTTGGTACAAATCATTTCAAGACATATCTCCTTGTCTGAAGGTGATTATCGTCCTAATGAATTGTGTAATCATATTTTGTCAGCAGTAATCTGTACTTTATGAACTTATCTTTGCAACAATATGTGTTCTTGGAAAAAGCAGAAAACAATTTGTCTATTAGGTATGTTTGACATAATAATTAAACCAATGCTTTAATATGGTTGTGAAGTAAGGGGTTTTAGTAACAATACTCTTGTTGAAAGACTTAATCTAAAATTCTGTTTTAACATACGCGTTTACGTTTAAGCGCGGGACGTCCTCAATGCTGACAGACGTTTAACGATACATTTAGTTTCATAAAACGGGGGGATATTTAAAATTAAATCACATAAGACATCTTTTGTATAAAAACTAGTTAATACGGAGACATTTTTCATAAATGGGTGAAAGGACAAAATAGATGAGATTACATTGAGAAAATCTGAAGATTTTTCTTAAACGCTAGTTTGCACTTATGACGTCTTTTAACACTGTCGCTGAGTGCTCCGGGTGGAAATAGCAAAAATTTTTGAAGCTTGATATTTATATTTTTCAATAATTGCATTTTCTTGAAAATGATAAACAATACAAGTAAAGTCTGAATTAAATATTAATCCTTATTTCTTTTTATTTACAAAAACTATGGCTGTGATATAGAGGTTGTCCACGAACTTTACGAACAACCCTCGTATATTACATCCTGAGTTTTCAACATCAAATTGCATGGTATATAGAAACTTGGTAGATGCCCTTTATTAGATCTCAGCTCGAATGATCTCATTCTGAACAATTACAGTTGTTCACAAGGTATTGTCATCAAAATTATGAAATGTGTTTAAAGCACCATAATGCACAATGATGTGATGCTGTTA